TCCACACTATATGATAGATTTGAATTCAAGATCCTCATCACAATTTATATCATTGAGAGCTACCTCATATCAAAGATACCATCGACGGTTATTTGATATCGATTCCAACAAGACAAAATTTATTGAGATCTCTTCAGGTATCTGAACCTTTTTCAAGATTTTATGAAGTGTTATGTCAATGTGCTCCTTTAGAGCACTTGCCTCATTATCATGACCATATTGATCATTTGCTCCTTCCTTTTTCAAGGAATTTCATATTTGGAATCGATTGGTCTATTACGCTTCCGGCGTATCATAGACTCTGTCCTTCAAGGACTTCACATTGGAGCATTTGCAGCTGAATTATATCATAGGGTCAGTGCATTCATCTGGCAACTGATTTGCAACATTATGCAACTGAATTATCCCTTGAACTTTAAGTTCACATATTTATTTAACGAGGATCTAGATACTTCATAATTAACCTCACACATAATTTTCAGCTGTCAATCATCTCTCCCCCTAATGTTAGAAAATTTAACATTCATTCCAACCTTATTTGGAAGTTCATCTTGTGCGTGGTGGAGCAACTAAAATAATAATCGCACATTCAATATTTTAGATGAAAATTATATGGTCCTGACCCTGAACTAATTTTAATGGGAAAACCTTGTTAGTTTGATGCATACATGTGTTGCTACATGTAAAATAAAATTATCTCATACTAAATCTTATTTGGGAGTTTTGTTCTCATAACCATGATTTAGATATAATTGGAGGCATACAATTTCTGCTAAATCAACCAGCATTATCAATATAATTTCATAGTTTGGAACTGTGCTCTTAATTTTTACAATTTGAGCAAACAACCTTACAAATCCAATTTGTAAGTTGACAACAAAATACATGTGACCATCGCATAGATGCATCAATCATATAGTTGCAAATGATCCACATGACAGGTGAATGTCATATTCACCCTTTTATATGTTCCAAAATTTTTTAGGGGATTACAATCCGAACCTTAGCTGATACAATGATCATTTTATCAAGACAACAAGCAACACAAGAGAATTCTTGAAGAATCTTTATTTCTTCATCATATAAATCACCTGAATCTCAATCACGTTTGCATCACATTTAATCGGAATGATCAACCAGTCATGCCAACTGATCTTTATTTTAGTACACTTATAATTTACTTTTACATGTGATTTCATCAGCATGTACATGTTTGTATGGAACAAACAAGAGGAAAAGTGGGTTAATCTTTTACATAAATATTTTTAACCCTCTTCGATTGTAGTGATTTATAGTCTCAATATTTATTTTCAATTCATCCGAAACTTAAAAAGTTTCTTTTGAGACTTAATACAACCCCAATATTATTCCTCTGATAATAGCACAATTCGTTAGAGCTTGCAATTAATTTTGTGTATTATCACATATTGCATGACACCATCCTTATGGTGAGCATCTCCTTCAAGGAGGAAATTATATTATTATTGTCATGGTCAAAATCATTACGAGCAAGACGTCTTTCTTGATTTACTTTTGTTGTACCATAGGTACACAACCAATGACAAATTTGTATTGCCACACAATAATGACCATAATCCTTATAGGCAAGAACTATTTCTTTCCTTTGCCCTTTCGGTAGTTCATACCATAGTAACGTATAAAACGTACAATACAGTAAGCCATTTCTGTCAAATAAAATTTATTTCCTCTCAAATATCCCGTAGAGATGAGAAATGACATGTATCATTTTTTCTCAAACCTTCCATAGAGGTGAGTTGTGGCATATATCCAACCCATAATGATTTTATCACATCTGGACCCATTCTCTTATAGAATGGTCGAGCATTCACGATACTCATCACAAGTCACATTCTCCTCAAGGAATGAACTAATTATTTATACGTATTTCATAAATTTGCATTATAAGCACATTATCATGGCTTTAAATTCATCATATTTCTATGACACACCTCAACATCACTTTGAAAGATCAAGTGTACCATCACTTTATCTTCTTGTATCATGATAGAAGATTTATAAACTTGTCAAATTATTGGGTTGACAACATTCACAAGTCTAATGACCTTTCATACCATTTTGATGATAAAAATTGCCTTTACATTTTGAAGGACTATTTGAAGAACTCATAGTGTTTTTCCTTTTATCATTACCACAATGATGACTATTATAATTCTGTCCCTCCACGCCCTTATTTATATCATTAATTATTTGTCATCTTTTAGACTAATCATTCACTGCTACCACATTCATATGATTGAATGGAGCAAGTCAACAGGCAGATTTCAGAGTTATCACATGTTGCTACCACATTCTTTTAAAGGAATGGAGAAAATTCAATATGATGAATTTCAAGACATTTCATCAAAAATATATTATTTTTCTTAGTCATCATTTTATCATTGCTATGGTGCATTGACTCAAACTCAATGACTTACCCATATAAGGCGTGTTACGCCATATTTCTATGGGACTTGAACCCAATCACGTTGCATCAAAATTGTAATTGATGTCTTACTCTTTTGGTGCGATAGAACTTGAATCTATCGTCTTATCCTCAAATATTTTTCATTATGGTGCATCCGGACTTTAACATGATGTCTTACCCTTTTGGTGCGATGAAACTTGAATCTATCGTTATACCCTTAACCAACGGTATAATAAATCGAAGTACAAAATGATTTATTGTTTGAGTCTTTCAAAACAACTAAAATAATATTCAAACTCAAGCTATTAAAATTTTATACCTTCTTCTATTTAAGAAATTTTGTATAGCCTATCATATTCAACCAATAGTAGTATATGTCTTCGGTTCCTGATAATTGTTAGTAACTGAATACTATTTTCTTCTAAATCATAAAAATATTTTAGAAAATACATACCTGATTCTATGTAAATAATACCTTGATTTTCATAACGAGATCAACCAAAACATGAGTTAAAGAAAATCTAAAACTCACTCTCAATTGGCTAGAGACTCGTGCTGATAACGTGTTATAAAATCAAGCTCATGGCAATATAAATATAAAGAGATAAAGACAAGAGAAGTAAGATGGAAGATAAGACTTTCTTCTTATTCATGTGTGTACTTCAAATGGTGAGTGATATCTCTATTTATAGTGTTGAGATATCACTCCCAAAGGTCACCAAATTAATAGATCCATGTTTAGATGGAAGATAAGATTTTCTTCTTATTCAAGTGTGTACTTCAAATGGTGAGTGATATCTCTATTTATAGTGTTGAGATATCACTCCCAAAGGTCACCAAATTAATAGATACATGTTTATCCATAGTGGATCATATCACCTTGGAAATATACATACATGAATACAAGTAATTCATGAATATCCAATGGACAATCCACTTAATTAGTTCAATGGATTTGTAACATTTTATGCTATTCTTCCTTATATTTTTTAATTCTCTCTTTCTTCCTTTTTTTCTCTCTCTTTCAAGTTAAGACTTTCTATCTTTTTCTCTTAAATATTTCCATTAAACATCAATCACAATATTAACTCTTCACGGTAAGCAATAACTCAAATCATATGAATTTTATTTATATTGATTGTCTGGGTTATTTTTTTAAAAAATTGAAATTTTCTACATTCTTTATCTTGTAGTTGGATGCAAAATTTTTTCTTTTTACAAATTATCGTATTTGTATTTTTTGCAAGGTTTTCCTCCCCCAAAAACTTCAATATATTGTGATTTCCTGAATTGAGATTTTCTCAATTTCTAATAAATAATTAATTAATATATTTCTGAAAAGTTTTTAAAATATTGAATTTTATTGATTGGATTTTATAATGAATATTTATTTTTCTCCAACAAATATATCTAAGTTTGTTAATGAATACAAACAAACACATAATAATTTAAAATTATCTAAATTTATTAATGAATTTCGTTGATTGCATTCCAAAGTAGTAATGCAAGCAACTATATACATATGTAAAATTATAAAGATACTAATGCAAACAAACGTATACCAATTTATAAATGAATATGGATGAATTTATCCAATACAAATGTATAACAATGTTATTTTGGAAGATATTATTGCAAATAAATGTATACCAATTTATCATAAATACGAACAAATGTATACCAACTTATTATGAATACGAATAAATGTATATCAAATTATTATGAATATTAACAAATATATACAATACAAATGTAAAATAAAAAACATATTAATACAAATATACCAATTTATAAATGAATATGAGCAAATGTATCCAATATAAATGTATACCTATAAAATTTGAAAGATTTTACTGCAAAAAATATAAATGTATACCAGTTTATTATATATATGAACAAAGGTATCCAATACAAATGTATGTCAATCTATTATATAAATATTGATTCAATAGATACTAATGCAAACAAATGTATATAAATTTGTTTAGAGAATGAATATGAATTGAGTTCAAAGGAAAAATAATTGATGAGTAGTGAACTCATACGAACCTTTAAAATAAGAATAATCATGATCAAAATAGTATTTGTTAATTTTAAGAAAAAGATATAATTATCAATTATATTTTACTAGTTTTAAGTGAAAATGGTTGGAGATTGAATATAGATTGTATTAATTATTTTTTTATTTTTAAAAATATAAAATAATTTGAAAGAAGGGAGTTTTGAATAATTAAGTTTTAAGGAGAAATAGTTGAAAGTTAGAAGAGAGATGAAATTATTTTCTTTCATTATTTAAAAAAAATACGTAAACATTAAAAAAGTGAGATAATTCTAAATAATTTTTTGATAGTTTTAAGGAGTAATGGTTAGAAGTTACAAGAGAGATGATATTACAAATCTTTTATTATTTAAAAATAAATAAATATATTGATAACTTACTTTTGGATTAATATGTGTCAATTTTTTATCTGTTTATTAATTGCTAATTAATATTGGACTATATATTACCAATTATATGTAATACTTGTCTATTTGTATCAAATCCAACATCAAATAATATCCGGCCCAAACTCGACCGACCCACTCTACTTCTTCTTTCCCACTATGCGAGAACAGGCAAAAAGGTGTGAACAACTTTCCATTTTCTCTTCATCTTAGCGGAGATCACGAGTAGCAGCAGAAAATCGCGAGAAACTATTACACTCTTCCAAGTACTCTGCAAACCCATAACCTTAGAAACCTAATCGATCAAATTGCTGTCCCTTTTTCCCATTTTCAAAGATTTTCAAAATCTCTTCTATTTGAAATTTTTGCTCAACGGTTTCCCCCCAAATTCGTCCCATCTTTCCCTATAAATAGCCCCTTGTCTTCAGTGATTGAGGAGGGAGAAAAGATTGGATTTTGAGGCCATATACGAAAAAATAGTTCACAACACGATTGTGGAGATTGGATTTTATAGTGTAATAGTATTCTAGAGTTTTGGGTTTGCTGTTTTGGAACTTGTATTTTTGCCGAAATTCCTTGTATTGTGGTGGATAGCTCATCCAAGCTCGTTCGTCCCGGAACGCTGGCCGGAAAAAGGTAATATCTACTCCTTTGTTTAGTTTTCATTTCGATTCCGAGTATTATGTGATGAGCCTGTCTCTGTTGAGTCTTCCTTGGCTTCATTTTCGCTTTGATCAAATATGAATGGTCATGGTTTATTACTTTTGCTACTGGAATTCTTGACCTGTCATTGTGTAATTCATGCCTTGTCTTGATTAGGTGTTCAAATCACTTTGTAGTTGTTTCGAATCACATGCTCTTCTTGCTTTGACTCTTGTGCCTAATGTGCTCTCAAGTATCAATGAAGCTACTTAAATATAATATGTTAGTCGTCATATGTATTGACTCGATTTTGTATCTTTATGTTCAACTGAATCTCTGTTCGAGTACTCTTGAGATGATCTATTTTTTGTTTGGTGTCAATGAATATGTTAGCTGCACCGTTCTGTTTAGAGTCATTCTTACTTGCAATTTTGATAGTCTTCTTTATCTTTTTGTTGTATCAAGTGTAGCGTCTGTTTTCTTGCCTTAGTTGCATACTAAATTTTGCCGAGGAGATCACTGAGTGGTGTGTTTATTATTTAAAAATGCTAGCCTCCAGTTATGTTCTTGATAGAATATATCCCTTCACTTAATAGAATAATGGACCAGCTCCCTTACTACGCTAATGAATATAACCAGAAAGTTAAATGCAGTAAAATCAACACAATGATTTTACGTGGAAACCTCCTTGCTTAAGGGAGTAAAACCACGACCTGTCTCACAGGATTTTCAATCGTTTTCACTAATCTTCAAAAGCAAAAGCAAAACACGATTACAACAAATGTGAGAAGAAGTTTTTAATCTCACGTTTAAGCAATAGTCTCTATTGCTTAACAAGCCTAAGTAGAAAACAATCTACCCACTAAGCTATCCCACTTGGACAACCTAGACTTTTACACTACCCACTGATTCCTTTATAGTTTCAGGAATAGTTTACAATATAAGAACAAGAGAATATATTCCTAAACAGCTACACTAAAAGCTCCAGAGATTTATGATGTTCTTGAATAATTCTGCCTTTGCTTGGTAGTAGCCTTTGCAAGAGTTCTTGAAAAGTTTCTTATCAAGTTTCAAAAACTACCAAAGATGTTTAGGAAAGTGCCTTTTAGGAAAGTGCCTTTTATATGGACAAGTCACTTTCCTTTAACTCTTTGCCATTGGTTGGAGAAGTCTCACTTTCTGAAGCCATCGGGAAGTGTGCACCTACTTTCTGTACCGTCTCCAGCTGGCAGTCTACAGGCTCGTCACCATGAGAGTCTGGTATCTCTACAAGGCCCCTGGGTTTGTTTCATCTTCAACACTCAAGTAAGAAACCTGGTACCTTTACAAGGTCCCTACGTTTGTCAAATCATCAAGACTACAAATAACATTTTCCCCCTTTTTGATGATGACAAACAATGATCTAAGATCTTCTCCAACTTTGTTCCCCCTTGCTATATTCCCCCACATGTATATTCCCCCTCACTGTATTCCCGCACATGTATATTCCCACTCACTGTATTCCCCCATGAATAATCATTTAGCTACTTACAACTTTACTTCCCCCTTTTGGCATCATAAAAAAGATATGCAGTAAACCAGAGATGTCAACAAAAATACTGAACAAGATCAAAGCTAAAGAGCAATCAATCAGTAAGGGAAAAGCATTCACAAAATAGGATAAACAGAACAACAAAGGAATAAGTTAACCAGCATACCATCATAACATTAATACATTAAAATCAAACTGAATATCCATCAACACAAAGATAAGCCACACAAAAAAATTGACACAGGGGAGGGTTGTTTAACAGGCTAGGAAGAGGGGGGAGGATGAGACATGGACTGGATGATGAGAGTGAGTCTTACATTGGCAGCATCATTATCTCTAATAGCCTTTTCCTGCAATGCAATGATCTTTGCCTTCAACTCTGCATTCTCTCTCTCCAGAGCTTGTACCACTGAAGAACCAGGTCCCTCATGCTGTGCAGTAAGCAGTTCTGCTTTGAGTACAACAATCTCGGCCTCTTTACCACTCAAGCGCACAGTGAGCTCCTCAACCTCGCGCTTAAGCTGATCCTGATCTTCAATAAGTTGAGCCATCTTGCTCTTTGGATAGACTCTTCCTTCAATGCACTCGCACTCAACCAAGGTACTCTCGGAGATAGTCTGTTTAACCGTCCCAACCTTTCCAACACTGAGAGAAATTTGAAAATGTTTGAATACTTCTGTGAGGAAGTATCCGTAGCCCATTCCATGAACACCTTTCCTCTCGATGACGGTTTTGTAGATATGCTCAAGCATTAGACCTGGGAGATTCAAGGCTTCGAAGCTACACAACATCTCCATTACAAATAAGTCAGCAGCAGTTGCTACTGTCCTCTTTTTTCAGTGCGAGGAAGGAGAACTTTCTTGATGAACTCAAAGACCAACTGGTACTCTCTCTTCATGATTTTCTTATAAATCCCAGCAACCTTGGTTGTGGGTGTCTTAGAAATCACAGAAGCAAACTCAGAAGAGCAAGTTTTGCCCAGTACAGACCGGGTCCCCTCTCTAGGCACCCTGAGAATTTTTCTCAACACACCCTCATCTAGATGTACAACAATGTCATTGACCCTTGTGAGAATGCTCCCATCCTCCTTGAATTGAACATTATAGTAAAACTCGCGCACTTCTTCTTCATGGAGGATGGGGGATTTTCTGTTGAACAGGTGTAGCCAAGATTGAATCTCTACCATATCGTGAAGAGAGTCTATGCCAGGAAGAGTTATGATTCCCATATCAAAAACTCTCCCTGCCAAGACGGCTTGCTTCCTTAGGCTGTCAACATTTTCCTGCATGTTGACACTCTCATCTCTCCTGGCTTGGGAACCAGGTCCCTGTGACCTCTTCCTTTTTCCCTCAGAACTCTTCTTTTTCGACTTCGTGTTTTCAACATTCTTTGAAACCTTTCCCTTTTACCCTCCATCCTTTTCTTCCATCATCGGAACAAACGGTCCATCAAGTACAATATCCCATAACTCGCTGTCTTCAGCCATGAGGTAATCATGCATTCTAACTTTCCACCAACTGTAGAAATGTCCATTGAAACGAGGAGGTCTTGTCGACGACTGACCTTCTTCGAGATTAAGTGGAGCAGCCATTCTAGAACAAATATCACTTCCTTGGTATTAACCAAATAGGGAGTGCCTGCTCTGATACCACTTGATAGAATATATGCCTTCACTTAACAGAATAATGGACCAGGTCCCTTACTACGCTAATGAATATAACCAGAAAGTTAAATGCAGTAAAATCAACACAATGATTTTACGTGGAAACCTCCTTGCTTAAGGGAGTAAACCACAACCTGTCTCACAGGATTTTCAATCGTTTTCACTAATCTTCAAAAGCAAAAGTAAAACACGATTACAACAAATGTGAGAAGAAGTTTTTAATCTCACGTTTAAGCAATAGTCTCTATTGCTTAACAAGCCTAAGTAGAAAACAATCTACCCACTAAGCTATCCCACTTGAACAACCTAGACTTTTAACACTACCCACTGATTCCTTTATACTTTCAGGAATAGTTTACAATATAAGAACAAGAGAATATATTCCTAAACAGCTACACTAAAAGCTCCAGAGATTTCTGCTGTTCTTGGAATAATTCTGCCTTTGCTTGGTAGTAGCCTTTGCAAGAGTTCTTGAAAAGTTTCTTATCAAGTTGCAAAAACTACCAAAGATGTTTAGGAAAGTGCCTTTTATATGGACAAGTCGCTTTCATTAAACTTTTTGCCATTGGTTGGAGAAGTCTCACTTTCTGACGCCATCGCGAAGTGTGCACCTACTTTCTGTACCGTCTCCAGCTGGCAGTCAACAGGCTCGTCACCATGAGAGCCTGGTACCTCTACAAGGTCCCTGGGTTTGTTTCATCTTTCAACACTCAAGTAAGAAACCTTGTACATTTACAAGGTCCCTAAGATTGTCAAATCATCAAAACTACAAATAACAGGTTACATCCTTTTTTTTTTTGAAGTCATAGCCTTTCTTATGGGTGTACCCTTGTCTTTTTTTTTGCTTCTTTTTTTTGTCTGATTGTTGCCGGTAATATTAAAGTTTGCTTTAGAATTCATGTTTGACTTAGTATAGTTATATCCACATTTAGACAACACTTGAGCATACCATTCTTAAACTCACGTTTTTCAGTTTTACTTTGTAACTCTGAGTCTCGTTAATTTTTGTCTCAACATCTCATCATATGTATCAAAATGAATTTATATGCCCCTCCCTGTTATTGACTTTCTAAGGAATGTTGTCGTCTTGTTAGTTCATTCACTTTGAGTGTTTTATTTCTCTGTGACAAGCAATGCTGCCCTCTTTGTTATTCATCATCTCTGTGAAATTCATGCCTATCATTAATAAGCTTCAACCAATTGCGAATATATATAGGTCAGAGTTTAGTTTTGCAATGAATTGTGACAGGTTTAAGTTTAGCTTTACGGTTGCCTTGCGCTCTTTGCTGTCTCCCATATCTTTCCTGTCTCTGTTTTCAGCTACGGTTTGATATAAATTAGCACACTTTTTTATGTTCTAAATATGAAATGATGCATATTTTACTTTGTTTCTTTTTAGTAAGAAACTACTGTGTGCCCTTTTCCTTGTTGCCATTCATAGTTTGTTTTGAAATGTTTTACATTTTGTTATCACATGTGTTAAAAACTGATGGATCTTCTGCTCATTGCCTATTTGTCAGCTAGATTTACTAATGGTATCATTGAATTACCCATGCTAATTCTTTGCTTTTGCTTTCTTTCGCATGTGATATTTCCACAGTCCTATATGGACTCGTCTCCTTATTCTTGCACTTCCAAGTTGAGACATATAGGCTCGATCTTTGTTCCTATTTCTCGAGTCAGACCCATATATCTGAAAGCTGTTACAGGCTCTAGAGACCCAACGACTTGCTGGAAATTAGTAGACAAATGTTCAAAAGCCCAAGAAATGGGCTGTATACATGAAGTATACTACATTTATGCACTGATATACAGGTTCATGGCAACAAATGTGTGGCCAGAAGTGCAAAAATACAGAGATGAGATAAACAACAGGTTTTCGGAAGCAGGAGATACACGCAAAGAGCTTATATACACTAATATACAATTGATGTATACAAAAACAGAAATTTGGTTAAAGACTAAAATTTGCAGCGAAATTGGCCCCTGAAGGGGCCCAGTTTCATCATCTCTTTTACTCCTTTAATTTCTTTGATTATGCTTTGAATTATTTCTTTTAACTCTAACCATAATTAATTTTAATTTACCTACTTAGATCTCCAAAAGAGGAGTTGTTTTCTTTATGTTGGTTTACCTTTAACACATCACTTGTGTTCATTTATTCTATGTCTAGTATACTGGTCAATTTTTATATCTTTATTAAGTATATTTGTTCTTAAAAGGACGTTTTTTTAGTTTGTCAACTAAATTAAAAAAACATGCTTTTTTTTTACTCTACCACTTTCTCAGAAGTTGGTCAAAACTTTGGTCTCTTTCATTTATCTAATCAATTTAAGATAGACCTCATGCTTGGTTCAAATTATATATATATATATATATATATATATATATATATATAATAAAATCAAGCTCATAAGAATATAATCATAAAGAGAAGAAGACGAGTGAAGTAGATAGAAGAAGGGAAATTTTCTTCTCATTCAAGTGTTTGTAAATCTCATCTGTATGTCATACAATAGTGAATGAACAATCATATTTATAGAGTGAGAAATCACTCCAAAAGTCACCATATTAAGTATCATAATAAATAGATACATTCTTATCCAAAACGGTTCATGAATCTAGTGAATATGGATGGTTGTTCATGTACCAACCTTATGGACTATCCACTCATTAAATGAATTTATAACACTCCCCCTTGGATGTCCATAGATAATGTGCATCATTAAAACCTTACTAGAAAAAATCCTGTGGGAAAAAATTCTAGTGAAGGAAAAAGAGTAAACATATCTTTTGATACGCACTATTTGTTGCCTCATTAAAAAACCTTGCCAGGAAAACCCAGTGGGAAAAAACCTCGATCAAGGGAAAAAGAGTGCAACGCGTATTATACTCCCCCTGATTAAAACATCACTTAATTTCTTGTGATGACGTCTCCAATCTTCGTACATTGTGGTTGGTATATTCTTTTTCAAAGAAAAACCACACATTTCTTGAATATGGTGTGTCATTTATCTCAACCAGACGCTCTTGCGACTTGCTTCATGGAGGACTTTTATTTCTGCATAGCAACATTTGCTTCATTAATCGCATGTTTGAGATCGTGCTTTATGCGGATCAGATAAATATTCTACATCTGCATAAACAATCAATTTTGTCTTGTATTCCTCGGAATAGAATAAACCCATAATTATGGTCCTTCAAGGATATTCATTCATGTGCTCAAAACCATTTCCATGTCCTTTTATCGGGGAGAAACTGAATCTTGCCAGTAAATTAACTGCAAAATAAATTTCTGGTCAAATATTGTTAGTAATATGCACTAGTGCCATGATTGCACCAAGATATAGAGTTTCATCACCAAGAAACTCTACATCCTTCTTTGAGATCAAACTGAATCATCATTTATGTCAAGTGATCTCATAATTATTGGGGTACTCAATGAATGCGATTTATCCATATAAAATTGCATCAAAACTTTTCAGTGTATGTGCACTGTTAGACAAATATTTCATTTGTCAAATTATCAGTCTGTAGGTCAAGATAAACTTTTGTCTTACCAAGAGCTTTTCATACAAATATAAGGACAATTAGGGTGATTCTTTTGTACACTTCTCTTCCTTGACTATTTCAATCCATATAAGGATTCTTGAAGCTTTATTTAAAAAGTTTCTTTCAAACTCTTATATGCTTCAAACACCTCGATTGTTTCAAGGATTTTCATATAACCTTCACTGTCTAGCTAGACATTACAAATATTCATTACATGCATTCAAGTTTTTCATATGTTGTCAGATCAAAACAAACCTCATTCCATCCACCAAAGGATAAAACATCTCTAATAATGTCAGGATTTTTGCGATAAACCTTTATGCCCCAAGGCACAAATCGTATTTGATATTTTACGATTATACTATCACATAATAATTTATTTGTAACCCACTGACATTATACCTTGATTTATGGACTACCAGTCCAAAATGTCACTTTTCTAAGTGAAAGATATACTTGAATTGTGCATTTTACTTAGCCAACCATTTATCTGTCCATACTATATGACATATTTGATTTCAAGATCCTCATCACAATTTATATCATTGAGCGCTACCTCATATCAAAGATACCGTCGACGGTTATTTGATATCGATTCCAACAAGACATAACTTATCGAGATCTCTTCATTTTTCATTATTTCAGGTACCTGAACCTTTTTCAAGATTTTATGAAGTGTTATGCAATGTGCTCATTTATAGCACTTGCATCATTATCATGACCATATTGATCATTTGCTCCTTCCTTCTTCAAGGAATTTTATATTTGGAATCGATTGGTCTATTACACTTTCGGCGTATCATAGACTCTGTCCTTGAAGGACTTCACACTGGAGCATTTGCAGCTGAATTATATCATAGGGTCAATCCATTCATATGGAAACTGATTTGCAACATTATGCAACTGAATTATCCCTTGAACTTTAAGTTCACATATTTATTTAACGAGGATCTAGATAATTCATAATTAACCTCACACATAATTTTCAGTCGTCAATCATCTCTCCCCCTAATGTTAGAAAATTTAACATTCATTCCAAGCTTATTTGGAAGTTCATCTTTGTGAGTGGTGGAGCAATTAAAATTATAACCGCACATTCAACATTTTAGATGAAAATTATATGGTTCCTGACCCTGAACCAATTTTAATGGGGAAACCTTGTTGGTTTGATGCATACATGTGTTGCTACATGTTAAATAAAATTATCTCATACCAAATCTTATTTGGGAGTTCTATTCTCATAACCATGATTTAGCTATAATTGGAGGCATACAATTTCTGCTAAATCAACCAGCATTATCAATATAATTTCATAGTTTGGAACTGTGCTCTTAATTTTAAAAGTTCGAGCAAACAACAACCTTACAAAAACCAATTTGTAAGTTGACAACAAAATACATGTGACCATCGCATAGATGCATCAATCATATAATTGCAAATGATCCACATGACAGGTGAACAGGCCCATATTCACCCTTTTATATGTTCAAAAAATTTTAGGGGATTACAATCCCAACCTTTGCTGGTACAATGATCATTTTTTTCTCAAACCTTTCATAGAGGTGAGTTGTGGCATATATCCAACCTATAATCATTTTATCACATCTGGACCCATTCTCTTATAGAATGATCGAATATTCACGATATTCATCACAAGTCACATTCTCTTCAAGGAATGAACTAATTATTTATATGTACTTCATAAATTTGCATTAAAAACACATTGTCATGGCTTTAAAATCCATCATATTTTCATAACACACCTCAACATCACTTAGAAAGATCAAGTGTACCATCACTTTATATTCTTGTATCATGATAGAGGATTTATAAACTTGTCAAATTATTGGGTTGACAACATTCACAAGTCTAATGACCTTTCATACCATTTGGGTGATAAAAATTGCCTTAACATTTTGAAGGACTATTTGAAGAAATCATAGTGTTCTTCCTTTTATCATTACCACAATGATGACTTTATAATTCCGTCCCTCCACACCCTTATTCATATAATTAATTATTTGTCATCTTTCATACTAATCATTCACTGCTACCACATTCATATGATTGAATGGAGCAAGTCAACAGGTGGATTTCAGAGTTATCACATGTTGCTACCACATTCTTTTAAAGGAATGGAGAAAATTCAATATGATGAATTTCAAGATATTTCATCAAAAATATATTATTTTTGTTAGTCATAATTTTATCATCGGTATGGTGCATTGGCTAGAACTCAATGTCTTACTCATATAAGGCATGTTACACCATAATTCTATGGGACTTGAACCCAATCACGGTGTATCAAAACTCTAATTGATGACTTACCCTTTTGGTGCGATGGAACTTGAATCTATCGTCTTATCCTCAAATATTTTTCATTATGGTGCATCTGGACTTTAACCTGATGTCTTACCCTTTTGGTGCGATGAAACTTGAATCCATCGTCTTACCCTTAACCAACGGTATAATAAATCGAAGTACAAAATGATTTATTCTTTGAGTCTTTCAAAAAAATCAAAATAATATTCAAACTCATGCTATGAAAATTTTATACCTTCTTCCATTTAAGAAGTTTTGTATAGCATGTCATATTCAATGAATAGTAGTATATGTCTTCGGTTCTTGATAATTGTTAGTGATTGAAAACTATTTTATTCTAAATCATAAAATATTTTAGAAAATACATACTTGATTTTATGCATATAATACTTTGATCTTCATAATGAGATCAACCAAAAGATGAGCTAAAGAAAAACAAGAACTCGCTCTCAATTAGATAGAGACTCGTGCTGATAACGTGTTATAAAGTCAAGCTCATATGAATATAATCATAAAGAGAAGAAGACAAGAGAAGTAGATAGAAGAAGGAGAATTTTCTTCTTATTCAAGTGTATGTAAGTCTCATTTGTATGTCATACAATAGTGAATGAACAATCCTATTTATAGAGTGAGAAATCACTGCAAAAGTCATCATATTAAGTATCATAATAAATAGATACATTCTTATCCAAAACGGTTCATGAATCTAGTGAATATGGATGGTTGTTCATGTACCAACCTTATGGACTAACCACTCATTCAATGAATTTATATATATATATATATATATATATATATAAATATATATATATTCTTTTTTAAAAAAACAATTCAAATAAGTGTAATTAATGTAATTTTTTTGGAAATATTCCAATTTAATGTTGAAGATGTACCTGACCGATATTATCTGAGAAAAATAAAGCAAAAGATCACAGAGGACTATTGTGGACTATTATGAATATGTGTGCCACTGGAGGAAAGAAGCTGCAAAGGTACAACCTGTGATGATTGAAAGCAAAATAACCTCTGCTTTCATTTGAGCTCAAGAGCCCGAGTATTATGAAAGGATGTTTCCATGATGGGACAAAAGTTTTCAGAGATAGATCAAAATGGGAGAAGCCATAGAGGATGGCCTCAAATCTGGAAAGGTACATGTATCATTAATTTGCAGGCCGCCAACAAATCCGCGTAATTCGCTAGGAAAAATAAAGTGGATGTATCTACTAAATCTTTCAGCCCTAGGCCAAGG